CTACCTCTAGTTTTTTTTTTTTTTTTTTCCACAGCACTGAATATCTTATGGTGATTGTGAAACACGGAACACCTCACTTATTTGATTTTATGGTGAAAGTTGTTGTTTTTTTGTGTTAACTTGGTGTCGATTGCTTCAGACCCTTCCAAGTCAAGCTAGGACAGCGTTCGGAGAAGAGATGGGGCATTATCTATAAATGTCTTACCATTCTGCTGCTCCAGTGGTGTACCCTAAGAGCGAGGGACTAAGCAGGCAGAGATGGCGACACTGCCAAGACTTAGCAGATCACTTCTGGGCAAGATTCATCAGGTGCTATCTGCCAACCCTCCAATGCAGACAGAAGTGTGGCATGGTACCCCAGCCGATATGACAATAGGTTCAGTAGTCCTGCTGATGGACCCCCAGTTTCCCAGGGTGCTCTGGCCAATTGGCAGAGTGGTTAAAGTACATCTGAGTGTGGATAAAATGAAGTGAGTGAAGTAACGTGTGGCCAAGTATGGTGACCCATACTCAGAATTTGTGCTCTGCATTTATCCCATCCAAGTGCACACACACAATAGTGAACACACACACACACTGTGAACACACATCTGGAGCAGTGGGCAGCCATATTGCTGCAGCGCCCAGGGAGCAGTTGGGGGTCCGGTGCCTTGCTCAAGGGTCTCACCTCAGTCGTGGTATTGAGGGTGGAAGAGTGTGCTGGTTATTCACTCCCCCCACCGACAATTCCTGCCGGACCTGAGACTCAAACCCGCAACCTTCGGGTTACAAGTCCGGCTCTCTAACCATTAGGCCACTAATGATGGTCATGTATGATCTGTAGATGTAAAAGTCATACCGGATGCTGAGGAGGATGAGGAATGCTTTTCAATGACTCCAGATTAAGGATAAGCCTTTTACATGAGCAAATTGTATGCAATTTGGGGGCAGCTGTGCAAAAGGCGATAAAGAGAACGTCAGAGTGCTGTCGCGCTAGTCAAAACAGGGACTTTAATTATGAAACACACCCTTGCATGCTCATTTGCAGCTGTCCCAGAGTTCATACTGATCTAAGGATATTCATTCCTCTGGATGCTGCAAAGGAGGCCTCATTGACTAACACCTAAACCCCATCAGGCCACTGCAGTCCTCAAGCTTATTTGTTAACATCTTGTTAAGTAAACACTGACTGACATGCATGTAAGGCTGACTCTCCCCACTGATATTGATCATAGAACATCTGTGACAATAAACTTGTTCAAACTGATACTTCCCTCTGTGGTGTTCTGACCAACACACCTGGTTCACTGTGATCCGAGTTAGCCCTAACAGTATCAGGTAGTCCTTCACTACACTCGCCTTGACCTTTGGAGGCTGTGGGTGTGGTCAATCAGTGGTAATGCTAATGGCTTCTGGTCTTCCTGCTGGTGTTTAGGACATCATCGATAATGCTCAGTCTCCTTCTCCTCCTCCTTTATTTTTCCAAGTGCAAGGTCTTTGAGTCATGGTGTACAGCTTGAGCAGGGGATCCAGTCAGTTGCCCAGTAGGTTCAGTGCTGGAATTCCCGCAAGAAAAGTTTGCTGCTGGATCCATACTTTGAGGGTTTATGTTACATCCATTGCCGTTTCTTTGTTTATACGTGGTGTTGTGTGCTTGAGGCCTGCGTGTCCTAATAATGTTACATACTGGGACTTGTCAATCATCCTGGAGGGATTATCGGAGCTGCCTTTTGAACCTGTAGAGTCAGCTCCTGACCGGATTCTGATCCTTGAAGTTATGACCCCAAAGTCTTGTCCTTGTCATTCTGTTCTCAAGTGGTCATGCTTCATGCCTTCTGCCCTTCTCCCTTTGCTTCCTCGGAGGAGAAGAGGCTTCATCTATTTTGCCCTGTTCAGGCCCTTAAGGTTTATATGGACTGTTATGGCCAGTTGCACAAATCATCCCAATGGCTAGTATGTTTTGGTGCTGGCCATAGAGAGCTTGCCACCTCCAAGCACAAGATTTCTCATTGGGTGAGAGACGCTATCTCTCTAACTTATGAGGTGCGGGGCCTCCCTTCACCTCTAGGCTTTAGAGCTCACTCTACTGGGAGTGTTGAATCCTCCCAGGCTCTTTTTAGAGAGGTCCCTTTGGACGATATTTGTGTTGTGGCAGGGTGGTCCTCCCCGCACACTTTTATCAGGTTTTACAACCTGGATTTGGATGCGGCTCCTGGTTCCCAGGCCCTTTGTACATGAACTCAGTCATCTGAGTTTAGTTTGGTTCCCACTCTTTAGGCCAGATGCAGCAGTGCTTAGCTTGGCGTGTGTGGTTTATCATTCCCATTCCCATTTTCAGACATTCAGCACCGCTCCCATTGCGTCATTGCTACACAGCGGCTCGTTCACTATTCAGGGAACATGGGTTACGCAAGTAACATGTTTTTGATTGATTGAAAAGAACTGGTTCATAAGAATAATTAATTCAGGATTCTTAATTTATTTCTTAATTTATGTTTATTGCATTTTTTATATATATTTTTAATAAACAATAATTATTTAAATTAAAATAATTTGTATAAATTTTCTTCTTGCAAGAAAACAAACAATGATTACAGGAATAAACAATTCTTTGCCACCAATGAATTTATAAAAGTCACCACACTGTGGCAGTAGATAAGAACAATACCCTCAACAAAAAGCCCATTTGGGAAAAGAGGAGAGAGCAAAAAAGAGACTGAAGAGAGAGAGAAAGAGAGAGAGAGAGAGAGAGAGAGAGAGTCAGTGTAAAACTGTTCTCAACGTTTTTCCAAAAAGTATCCATGTCACTCCCCCTTCCTATTCAAGATAAATTCCCATTTTCACAGAGATCCAGACAACACCAGACAGAATAAAATTATTTTATGAAGTTTTCAAGTTTTTCACGCGACTCAAATCACGTTCAACATATGCCTCAAGGGCACGTTGAGGGCCAGCATTTCTAGAAGCCTGAAACACATCTGTGGCAACAGCACAGCTGCATTAGAGCTATTTGAGCGTGTGTCTTTTGTGAGGGAGTGATTCAGGCCAGTCTGACTGGAGCTCTGGGACTCCGCCACAGACATGCACTGAGACCAGACCTGCTCCAACCTGGATGGATCAGAGACTACAGAGGCTGCAGAGGAAATCATCTCCACCGAAGTTGGATGTTTTGGTTTGAGGCTTTGCTGGGAATTGCCATTGACTTTTGGAAGGTTGCAATTACCAGACTGGAATAATGTCCATGGACTGGCGTGGAGGTGAAAGGCTGCTTATAGGCTTGTTTGTGATCCTTATCCTGAGGCTCAGCCACTGTGCTGGACAAAGCTATGAACGCTGGGAGGCTGGGTCCTCATGCTATGGAGGGTTTGACCTTTACTTTGTGCTGGACAAGTGAGTTTTTTTTTTGTTTTGTTTTTTAATTACCATAAGCTTTGTGAGTGTCTTAAGAAATGACACCTGAGAATCTGTTGCTGGTTAGATGACCAAAAGTCAAGCAGGCATTCATAGCTATTACTGTAGGTCTCCAAAGAGACACATCAGGCAGCATGGAGCATCATTACAGTCTCTCATGCTCTTGCTGCTGCCAATCATGTGTGAAACATGAGGTTTGAATGTGCCCATATATCTGGCATAATCCATCTGCAATCTGAAGGTCTTTGAAATGTATAATTTACCTAACATTTCTATTCTCTGCAGCATATCTTAGGTGTCTCAGAGGGTCAGCTCCTGTATCACCTAGGCAGTTTTGTGAGAAACCATGAAAACATATACACATGGTCATCTCATCTGTCACTTATACTTAAGTGTACACTTATACTAAATTATACAAGCTCCACTTACGCAGCCAAAATCCTCAAACACAGAACTGTGCTGCAGCACTAGCTCTTCTTTTGCATTTTTTAATTGCTATGTGGATGCATATGTAACCATTTACCATAAAATAGTAACTATGAGGATAACAGCCCACCTCCAGAAAACAGAAAGAGCTTGGCAAAGACAAAAAGAAAACCTGCACACTAAAGTCATCTTTTAAGGGTGTTGAAAAATACACTATGAGAGTTCTTTCAGATTACACTATGGTTGTGGGATATTTTGGGTTTAAATTATTATTTTACTTTGTCTAGCTCTATTAAATGATGGTTTGCCCTGGGTTTGGTTGCTTAGTATATTTAATATATTCAGTTCAAGAACAAATGCAACAGTCTGAAATAATTTTAGGGTCATTATTCCATAGAAACGCCTAGCATTTTGATGTGGGTGTCATGAGGTGAAGGTGAGGGTATCTGAGTATAGCATTCAAGGGTGTTTGGATTTCTCATGTGCTGAACCTTTTCACCAGCAGGGCCAGATGTTCCAAAGCCTCAGAGCTGTTTTGAAGCAGAGTTCGTATCTGAACACAAATGAAATGGGAATGAGAAAGAGACTGGGGGGAGGGAGAGAGAAGTGGAGAATGTATGCCATTGTTTAGTAATGCCAGTAATATTCTTCATTTAAAAACAAAGATAAACTCTAGACATGTGAACAGTGCAAACCCTTTGATGAATTTAGAGTACATTAATCAAATTTAATATGCATGCAAATCTTTGGATTTCTCTTTGGTGGCGGATTAAAACAATGCCTTCGCTGTGTAGGACAACGGCCCAGACTATGGTAAAGTCTTTTCAGTGATGATTGTAGGTCATAGTGAAGAATTAACTAACAATGCAAGTTTCAGTTTCCTGTTGGAACAGTGCAGAGTACAGGCACAATGTTGATATGCTGCAAGGTGGTCTGGTCTTGTCCATATCTACATAAAAATAAAAAAATTAAAAATTAAAAAAAGAACAGCAATAGAATTAATAGACTGTCCACATTCTAAAAATAATGTGCATCACCATCTGTTGAATTTATAAAGACTGAATTAGCAGCACTGGTGTGTTTGTGGGGGTGGATGTGCACGGAGAAAAGCTTATACTGACTTTGGATGGTTTCGATGTTGCTTACGTAAGCTTAGCATTCTTTTTTGATTCGTCTCCACCGCAATTGCCCGGCCAGATGAACTATTACACAAGCTGAGCCATTAAAGAAGCCTACTTAACAGAGTTAGTGACTAGCTGCTCAGATATCATTCTCTGTCAGAAGCTACTTTTTAAGACTGTCGTGGACAAGGACATACTGCCATGTAAATCTGTAATGAATCTTGAGATAATCCTTAAATAGGATGTCAGGAGGGTGTAATTTCAGTGAAAAACCACCACCACAACATATGAGCAGCTTAATCCTTATGTGGATATAAGCCATCATGTGAAATTCTAAAAAAAGAAAATTGTTTTTTTTTTTCAGAAGAGTTTTTTTCCCCCTCAAAACTAGGGTCGATGCATTACTGTGGCAGATGATGTAACGTCTCAGACTGCAGTCATAAATGTCACACCTTCTGGTGTTAGACAGCTGATGCAGGCCTTATTTCCTCTGAGATGTCACATAGACCTGTGATGTCTTGTGATGCTCTTTCCCAATGTGTCAATGCGGCACAAGGTGTTTTTAACCAAATCATAACTTTAAGATTCACCGGCATGACCTCTTGCACTGAAAAACGGTGCAAAATCCATTATATGTGTTAATTCCATAACTTTCTATGCTTCAAGGTTGTTGATTTCTTTTAGAGTGGCCTAAGAAAGTATTTGGACTCTTAAGCAATACTTAATGAATGTCAATGGATTAGATGTCAAAATATCAAACTAAGTGACATTTGGCAAAAAAATAAAAAAAATAGATAAAACACTTTATAAGCAAAATAAGCAAAACATTTCAGGAAAAAAAAACATTTGTTTTAAATAATAAACAACACTAAACAAGAGGAACTAACCTTTACTTTGTCCAATATAGTATGTCCAATAAAATCACCAAAACACTCACTAAGCAAATATGAAGAAAAGTTAGGTGTGAAAAAAAGCTCCTGCAGTATTTGTTTCCATTTAGTTGATATTTTACCTAATGAAATTAAATGTATACATTTTTAGTGTCGCTTATTTTTTTCACTGTATGAAAAAAAATTGTGGATGACTGCACGGTTATTTTGTGTGATCCTAATACTGAATTCCTCAATGCGTAAAATCTGTATTGTCTTTGACATAACCCGTCTTCATTTTCAGGTCTGGAAGTGTACAGCACCACTGGAATGAGATCTACTACTTTGTTGATCACCTTGCACACAAGTTCATCAGGTGCAATCAGTTTACTGTCATTATTATAATCTATTTAAAAATTCAGGTATGTAACAAAGTTTTAGGAAGTTGTTCTGTTGTGGTTGAAATGAAATTGTCAAAAAAAAAAAAAACTTCACTGCAGTAAACAATTTTTAGTTGCCAGCCACTGTCCGAACAATATCATAAAATATAATTATAAGGCTGCAAAGCCAATTTAAATGCTAAGGACATGACAGCTTGTATAGCAAAAATAGCTATAATGGAAATCCTATTAGGCCCAATTAATGTCAGCTTGGGGGCAACAGCAGCATGAATAGCATGAATGGTCTATAAATAAAAAAAGAAAATCTTACCTATTATGCTCTGTCTTCAGCCCCCAGCTCCGTATGTCCTTCATAGTCTTTTCAACGGAGGGAAGGATCTTGATGAAACTGACAGAAGACAGGCAAGAGTTCAGAGCACATACTGTGATTTCATACTATCAACAACTCTGACTGAAAATCTTTCGATTACTTTAATTTCTTTGTACCTGCTGTCAGTTTTATTTGTATCTTGTGTTTATCAAACAAATCCAGAAGAGCAGGGAGCACTCATTCCCATGCTGGTCCAAGCTTAATGCTGGTGACCGCTGTTTTGGTTTTGGCTTAGCTGGTCCAAATAAAAATAAAAGAGTTAATTACATTAATTTTTAACTGTCTTCTTAACTATGTTTTATTAATTATTTAAACAAAAAGCAGTACAAAATGTCAAAAGGCAAAAATTGAATGTTCAGGGATCAGATTCGTGCTGGGCTGGAGGAACTTCAGCGAGTCTTACCAGGTGGAGATACCTTCATGCACAAAGGTTTTCAGAGGGTAAGAGGTTTTTTGTCACCACTGCTTCCAATAAAGTACATATGAACAAAAGCACTGTTCATTGAAACAAATATTTATGTGTTTTTTAGGCAAGCGAGCAGATATACTACGGAACAGGTGACGGTACGTTATCACATTTAGATGGCTTCTGAGGTGACAGATGATATTGACCAGACATTTTAAATCTTTAGATTGATTGATTTTTAAAGTATAGTCTACTATATATACTTTTCAACAGAGCTACAACAACTTCAAAAGTTAAATTAAGATGTGGTCATATTTACGAAATATAGCCTTACAGCAATTTCAATAAAACTCGACGCAAGAGGGAACTTCGTGGGTGTTTCCAAATTCCACACGCAAATTTTAGGTTCTGAAAACTGATTGTGGCATGGTTTGAAAGCGACTTCTGTGCAAGCTGTGCTTCATACATTTCTACACTCTTGACAATACTCAATGGACCTTTTTGTGGTCCGTGAAATTTCACCATTGTGACCGCAATTTTAGTCATTTATCGACAAAACATAAGTTGGCTACTGTCTTTATTATATTATATTATATTATATTATATTATATGTTGGATATCACAAAGAAAGTTTAAAACATGTTAATGACAGATGACGGTTAGCTAACTGCGTGAGACTCGAAACGAACCTCAAAGAATGATTACGCCTGTTTCACACCACTTGACAGCTTGAGCTTCGCGTCAACGTAACTACATCGTCACTGCAGCTGCAGACTTCCGAGAGTATTCACACTGGAAACGTTAGTACAGTGCAGGGCCGTCCTTAGCTGATGTGGGGCCCGGTGCGAGATAGGGAGGGGGTCCCTCTCGGTCCGCGGGGCCCCATCAAGCGCACCAGTTGCACCCCCCTAAGGACGGCCCTGGTACAGCGTCACAGCAGCGGCTCCAACGCTACATATTCCTTTACAAAGACAACTATAAACTTCTTTTTAGAAGTTGGTCAGTTATGAACGTGAAAGTTTTAAAGTCTTGAAAGTTTGTTAACATGGGGATTTGCATGTTAACGCGGGCATTCGCATGTAAATGGTAAACGATAAAAGCAGCTCCGATCATGTCACTTCAGTCTTAGCCTACTCCAAGAAATTACAGACAGCAATTCTTAAATAAATAAATAAATCGCCAACCCTGAAAGTCGTTGAATTATTCATGCTCTGTACAGTTTTCAGAGGTTCTGTGACTATTAGTTTCTCTCTTTTTGCTGTTAGGATACCGCACAGCGAGTGTCATCATTGCTCTGACAGATGGAGAATTGCGCGAGAATGAATTTGACTTGGCAGCCAGAGAGGTGAGACCTTAGACCTTGGATATTTTTACAGAACTGACATATTGTCCTATTCTTTCTCCCCGAGCATGAAAAAATGTACTTCAAACCAACAATCTTTAGCTGTGACTTTACCCGCAAAGTCAGCAGCTATTTATAAAATAAACTGAACCTTGGGCCTTCTTTCTCTCAGACTGTGGCTCCTTTATTATCTAGATCATATTTGCATAGTCTGATATTTCACATGAGCTGACTCTAATGACCGAATATTTGCAACTCAATAAATTGTTCTGATCCCTTTCTTTAATGTGTTCAAATGGCAGGCTGGTCGTTCACGTCAGCTGGGAGCTTCCGTGTACTGTGTTGGAGTGAAAGACTTTAATGAAACCCAGGTGAGGTGGCCTCTGCATACAGGTCAGAATGATTTGTCTATTCATTGTGAGCAGGTCACCACAATCTTGATCTTTCAGTAATTGAAATACAATGTAAGAACAAAAGAATTACAGAAGCATTTTTCATGATTTCTAATTCGGTCGCAGCTGGCAACAATAGCTGACAGCAAAGATCACGTCTTTCCTGTTAATGATGGCTTTGAAGCCCTGCAAGGGGTCATTGATTCGGTGAGTGGATGGAATGACATTTAACTCAGTTACAGCTACTCTCATTTCTTTCTATTGATGATTTTATTGATGTATCAAAGGAGCAATGACATGCTCCTTTTAAAAAAAAAAAGGACATCTATGATTTGCTTAGAACATTCAAATACAAATGCATTCGTCTTTTCTTGCCTCAGATCCTGAAGAGATCCTGTATAGAGATCCTCGCTGTGGAGCCCTCAAGTATTTGTGCAGGAGGTAAACAGACATCAGGCCTGAAGCAAAGACCTAGTTCAGACAGGCAACAATCAAAACTTTTTTTTGTCATATGCAACCGCAAAACACCACATGAAATCTGAATTTTACAAAACCGATACAAACCTAAAATGTTAAAATGGGATTTTTGGAAGTGCATTTCAGTCTGAATGGTCATATAGGATTGCAAATTCAGGACTCAACAATAAGGACTGCACGATGGCCCGGGACCAGCGTGAAAGACGTTCGAGACAGTCGCCGGATCTGTCACTGGAAATAAACTGGATGTTTATCATTATATTTGATCCATGCATTTTCTCTTAAAGTGACCGTGCCTAATTTACAAACTGCTCTCGGTGTCCTTAATAATAATGTTAAAAAAAAAATCACTTACTGCACTTGACTGAATAACTTTAATCTATATTTAATTTATACAGTGAAGAGTATGCAATGTTATTTTACATTTGATTATTAATTTCTGTACCTGAACACCTACAAACCTAAAAACCAAAAGCACTGTTTAATTTGTATCTTTGTTCTGTTTATTTATTTGTGGTATTGCTTGTGATTTTTTTCATTTGTTCTTATTTACAGACTGTTCACTTGTCTTTAATAATGTTTGAACTTTATATTTGTAAGGCTAGTAGTTTTTGCTGTGGTATTGAAATTGGAATTGAGAATTGTAAAATTTAACCGGTATTTAAAATTTTGATATCATATAAGCTTATTCATTAGAATACAAGATAACATGGGTCAAAAACAATAACAACTATTTGTTTTTTTGTTTTTTTGTGGCAGGGCCAATGAAAACGTTGGCGCGGCAAATAAAAATTTGAACCATTGGCCCAACTGGGCCAGTAGAAAAAAATCCTTACCATTGAGCCCTGATTTTTTTTTTTTTTTTTTTTTTAAATCAGGACACAACATGTATTTAACATCAAACACAATGTCTTTCCTGTATCCCAGAATCCTTTGAGGTGGTAGTTCGAGGGAACGGATTCCTTCATGCCCGCGATGTGAACAGAATCCTTTGCAGCTTCCGTATCAACAACACCCTCACCGTGAGTAAGTGAAAACAGCACAGAACCATTCCTGTTCCTTACACTGCCAGCTGCTGAGTTATTAAAGGTTTAACCTGTGTTAGCATTAGCTGCTAACCAACAGTGATCTCCTCAATTGATAAGGAACAAGAGTGATAGTTGTTAAATCACAGAAACTTTTATTTGATGAGTCCAGGCCAGGCTAAACTCACTGGCAAATGTAGCAATGTCGTCGCTCATGTGGCAGTGCAGACAGCTTTATTTTTGTCTTTTGTAATGGTAAGGAAACCAATTGAATCCAAATGTCAGTACGGCTGTCGTGTTTTCTACAATGGGACGTGAGCTAGCATGCCGCCCGAAAAAGGTTGACCGCAGCACTTGTAAATCACAAGACTTGACTTCAACACAAACCACATGTGCACAAACACACATCCACACAGCATTAAAAACACACCATGGAAAATATTACCAGGACTTTTTGTTAAACATATTAGAGGTTTTTAGTTGGTTTGTATATGTATCAGTTTGATAAGCAAGTGCAGAGTTAATCCAATGTAATGAAAAGTACCTTCAAAGCTCTTTTTCACATTTAGGCGAACAATTTCAATTCTTTTAGGTTATAGCGCCAAATTATACTCTCCATCGTACAACTCTTGCATAACTGTTATATTGGGTAACAAATAAAATGGCTCAACGCACAGCGCTTGGAATGCTGGATTTATCTTGGAAGCAAATGGTTAGAAATTGGTCTGCTGCGGTGCTGATGTCCTAATAATTTCTGAGCTCTGAGCATCTATCCTTCTCTCACAGCTGCTGTTTTACTTAAAGAATATCAGATGGCACGGGGGAATGCAAAGCCCATCTCACCAGTATGTGTGCGCACGGGTCTAGGCCAGGATAAATAGACTTAGGAGTCAAACATTTTCCAGTTTCTCATTTTTCATGTGGGAAAAATGACAAGAGAATAAAAATTCTGCCCTTTAGTTTTAGGCTGAACCAAAATGGTAAAGATATGCAATACAGTTTCTGTGTTTTTCTTCTGAAAATAATTATTAGTGGTTATTGCGAAGGCAAGCATCACTATTACTTATACATAGTGGCTTTTCAAACTTCTGCGCATAACTTTTCTTGAACTGTGCTACAAGCATGAATAATAGCTCAAATCATGCGGCTTATTTGGAAGAGGTGTAATTTTATAAGAAAATTATCAACAACACCCCATAGATTTATAATACAAGAGGGACTTGAGTCATATCTGCAGAACAAAATATCATTGAGACTTGAGGGTGGACTCTCTTGACTTGAGCCAGTAAGTAACCACCTAGCAACCACCCAAAACAGTCTAAGAACCATATAGTAACACCCTGGCAATCACCCAGAACACTCTAGAATCATGGCATTGAGTTATGCATTAAAGGAATAGTTCACCCAAAAATGAAAAGTTGCCAAAATTTACTTACTCTCAAGTAGGGCAGGGTATCAACCATCGAGTATCAAAAAATACCATTGAGTATTGAAAAATATCTTGTCGTTCGGTACCAAATTTCGATACCTAAGGGGTTAATCAAGGAAAAACACTAGCTGTGTTCGGCTTCATGAGGCACTGCGCAGATCAATCGGTGTTTGACATCAAAGTACTGCGAGAGCGATTCAAAAGCTTACGGAGCAATCTGCTCTCTAAAGCTCCAGCGGTACTAAAAGATGTGGAAACTGAAAACTATTTGAACTTTTTAAAAACTATTGGCACTGTCTGATTTATTGTGTTGGTTACAATTTGTTCCTTTGTGCTTTTTTTATGCTCCTTTGTGCAGTGGCTCAGGAGATCAAGAGTCTTTGAGTCTGTCAACAAGCTATAAAAACCTTTTTTTTAGGTAATGTGTAATGTAATCTTGTTGAAACAGATTTCATAAAACTGGTATCAAAGAAGCATTATTCAGGAAATGGTATCGAAGTCAAGGTATCGGACCGGTATCTGTATCGATATCGAAAATCTAACATTTTTGGACGATACCCAGCCCTACTCTCAAGCCTTACAAGGTGTAAATGAGTTTGTTTCTTCATCAAAACACATTTGGAGAAATACAATGGATCCTCTGCAGTGAATGGGTGCCGTCAGAATGAGAGTCCAAACAGTTGATTAAAAACATCACAATAATGCATAAGTAATCTACACTACTCCAGTCCATCAATTAATGTCTTGTGAAGAGAAAAACTGCTTGTTTGTAAGAAACAAATCCATCATTATGACCATTTTAAGTTTAGACCATTGCTCCTGGCTAAAATATGAGCCCTTCATCCATAATATTGCATTCTCACTGAAAAAGAATCAGGAGAGAAATATGCACAGATCAAACACTGTCTAAAAGTGAAACAGTCCAAATCAGGTCTAAACAAATATGTCAGTGGATTTTGATGTGAGAGGACAACAGGGGATGGACTTTTTCACTGGAGGATGTGTCAGTATGGATTATGGACTCATATTTTGGACAGAAATGAAGGTTTAAAGCTAAAACGTCTTAAAGATAAATTTGTTTTTTACAAACACACAGCTTTTCATTTCACAAGACATTAATTGATGGACTGGAGTAGCATAGATTACTTGTGAATTATTGTGATGTTTTTATCAGCTGTTTGGACTCTCATTCTGACGGCATCCATTCACTGCAGAGGATCCATTGGTGAGCAAGTGATGGAATGCTACATTTCTCCAAATCTGTTCTGATGAAGAGACTCATCTACATCTTTGATGACCTAAGAGTGAGTAAATTTTAAGCAAATTTTCATTTTTGGGTGACCTATTCCTTTGAAAAGAACTACTCGCATTATTCTCCAAAATATAAAATCTGGTTTATTATTGATTAGTTCATTACGAACAACAATAAATGTTGCATGCTGTGTTATTTTTGGTGGACTCTACACTGCAGTTCATATGTTTGGGGTTGGTAAGATTTTTTTTAATGTAATGTTTTATAATAATATTATAATTATTATAAATTAATAATATTGTAAGATGTTATTACAACTTAAAATAACTGTTTTCTATTTTACTATATTTTAAAATGTAATTTATTCCTGTGATGGTAAAGCTGAATTTTCAGCATCATTACTCTAGTCTTCAGTGTCACATGGTCCCTCAGAAATCATTCTAATATGTTGATTTGATGCTCAAGAAACATTTATTATTAGTATGCTTATCAATGTTGAAAACAGTTGTGATGCTTAATATTTTTTTGTGGACATTGATACATTCAAGACTCTGATAAATAGAAAGCTCAAAAGAATAGCATTTATTTGAAAAATAAATATTTTGTAACATCATAAATGTCTTTACGGATCAATTTATTTTGTCTTTGGTGAAAAGTGTTTTATTTATTTATTTTTTCATTTACTGACTCCAAACTTTTAAATGGCATGGTGAAACTATTTTGTAAGGGTGGTTCAGACTGGCCTATAGGATGAGCTGCTGTTAAATTATCCACAAACACCTTGTAAAATGAAACCGAATAACTGAGGACATTCACCAAGCTGCTGCTTTTTCTGTGTGTTGTTATTCCCCAGTGAAGAGGCCTCTGGTAGTTGAAGACACATGCCTGCTCTGCCCAGCGCCTGTACTGAAGGAGGAGGGAACGTAAGTGTTGCTGGAAACTTTCTCTTCAACTGAAGCAAATAAAGCTAGAATGGAAAGAGAAACACACAAGCCAAGACCAAATTAAAAAATAGGACAGAATGACGCCCAGCTCTCTCAAAGTAACTCTATGAAAGTAACTCTTCTCCCATGCACTTTAGCACTTTCAATTTAAACTGCTTGTGAAGCATTGTAAATTGTCATAATTGTTTTAAATGGTCATAATTTCAAACTAAATGTAACTTTGTAAATTCACTGACTATGTAACTTTCCTGTAAAAATAATGCAAAAAAAATAAATTAATAGAAAATATCAATTTAAGCAATATAATTACATGTAGTCACTTTTTACTGTACAGTGGAAACAGTAAAAGGATGTTCCCAGAAGTCCCTGCATAACCCATCATACTTCATTCTATTGTACTGGTGCACATATTTTAAATTTATGTTATACTTAATTTTTTTCGATTTCACAGGACAGTACACATTATATAAAAGTATGCAAATAATAATTGTTCTTATTTGCATTTTTCTTAAGCAGCAAATCAGCCTATTAGAATGATTTCTGAAGGATCATGTGACACTGCAGACTGAAGGAATAAATTACACTAAATTATATTACAATAGAAAAGTTATTAAATTGTAATTTGTAATTGTAATTTCACAGTATTATTGTTTCTACTGCATTGTACTGTACTATATTTTGATCAAATAAATGTAACCTTGGTGAACATCTCAATAACTTAAAAAAAATCGTACCAAACACAGGCTAATAAACGGTAGTGTATTTTATATGTAATTTAGCACAATTGGAACACTTTTTTGTATTCAGCTGGAAAATCTGCAGAATGGGTATGAAGAATATGGTAAAATGTGTTAAACTGTACTGAAAGATATAATAGACAAGATATTTCCTGACTGAACAAAAAATTCTTGTTGTGGATCATTCTTTTGAGAATTTGAAATAAAATCAGTCAGTCAGCCAGTTTTGTCTGTCTCTTTTTCGTTCATAGGACTGCCTCCCTCCATGTCAGTATGAACAACGGCCTGAGTTTTATCTCCAGTTCTGTGACCATCACGACTGTCAGCTGTGTGAGTACAGTAACCCTGCAGGGCAGCAGTGCCAAGCCCACTCCCACTGTTACACGAGCTACAAAATGAACAATATAATTATTTTTAAATCAGTGAATTAAAAACTAGTGCTGGGCAACAATTAATCGCGATTAATCGGATCCAAAATAAACATTTTTGCTTACATAATATATGTGTGTGTACTGTGTATATTTATTATGTATATATAAA